GAGCAGGTGGATAAAGTGGTTAAGAAGGCTAAGAAGTGGTTAAGAAAAACTACAGGGCATAGGTTTAAGGTGAGAGGGGAAAGATTTGAAAAGGAACCTAAGCAGCAACTTTTTCACACTGAGGGTGCTGCGTGTGTGAAACAAGCTGCCAGAGGAAGTGATGGAGGCTAGTACAATTACAACATTTTAAAAGCATCTAGATGGGTACATGAATAGGAAGGCTTTAAAGGGGTATGGGCCAAATGTTGGCAAATGGGACTAGATTAATTTAGGAAAGCTGGTCAGCATGGATGAGTTGGACTGAAGAGTCCGTTTCCATGTTGTACGGCTCAATTACTCTATATTAACGAATACTCTGTCCATGCCAATACACTACCTCCAACATCAGAGACTCTTATCTTATGACTTAACCTTTTATAAATTAACTTGCTGAATGCCTTCTAGAAGTCCAGATATAACAAAGCTACTGGCTCCCCTCCATCCACTTTGGTTAAGACTTCCCAAAGAGGAAACTATCCCCATTGCACTCAATGAATTTGTTGTCATAGCTACACTTTCCAACTTGATTGGGTCAATCAACATGAAGATTAAAGTCACCCATAATTATTACTCTACTCTTTCTCCATGCTCCTGTTATTTGTTGATTTATACCCTTTCCTACAGTGTGGCTACTGTTTGGGATTCTGCCACTCCTAGCAGTATCTACTTTCCCTTGCTGTTATTTACCTCCATCCAAATGGACTCGATATCATCAGAGCCTGGATGGTCTCTCGCAAATATCTTCATTTCATCTCTTATTAACAGTGCTACCCCACCATCTCTTCCATCTTGTCTTTCCAAAAGGTCAAACATCCCTGAATATTGGGTTCCCAGTTTTGATCTCCTTATAACCATGTCTCTGTAATAGCTATGAGATCAAATCATTTACCTTAATTTGCACTGTCAATTCATCTACTTCATTCTAAATGCTTTGTGCTTGCCGTTTTGCCATTTTTAATCATCCTAACTTTTCTCTGTACAGTGGCCCTATTTGCCTCTTGCCCTTGATTACCCTGCTCTTTCTGCATTATATTATTGTTTCTTCTATTGCCATCCTTGTGTTTATTAGATGTGGCATTGGGTTTAACAGCAGGTAAGTTATCCTGGAAATGTATAAAGCATTGGTTAGGCCACAGCTAGAGTACTGTGTGCAGTTCTGGAATCCACATTATAACAGGGATGTGATAGAACTGGAGAGGTTGTAGAGGAGATGTACCAGGATGTTCCCTGGGCTGTAAAGTTTCTGTTATTAAGAGAAATTGGACAGACTAGGTTTGTTTTCCTTAGAGCAGATGACATTGAGAGGGGTCATGATTGAGATGTATTGAATTGGGGGGCATAAATAGAGGAGACAGGAAGAGACTTTTCCCTTGATGAAGGGATCAACATCCGGGGGCATGGATTTAGGATATGGGGCAGTACATTTAGAGAGATGGTGAAGGGAAACCTTTTCACTCAGAGGGTGGTGAGAATCTGGAACTCACTGCCTGTAAGGGTGGTAGAGGCAGAAGCCACCATTAGTATTTAGATGTGCACTTGTGATACCAAGGCACACAAGGCTAAGCAATAATTGCTGGAAAATCAGATTAGAGTAGTTAGATGGTTCATTTTAACTGGCGTGGACACAATCGGCCGAAGGGCCTTTCTCTATGCTCTTGATTTTTATGACTCTTTATGACTCTATACAGAGAATGCAAAGAAGCTGTTGGTATTGTTGATGATATCCAGCTCTACAGCGTAGATGCAGCCATGAAGGGAATGAGGAAAGCTGGAAACAAATTAAAGGTAGACAAATACATTGCAAAGGTGACAAAATGCCAGTTCTTTGGAATGCTTTATTGCATCTGGCAGATCCAAGTGAGTCCTGAAAGAGTTACTGCTTTATCTCTGTGAGATGCAAGCTTCAAGGAATTCAAAAGAGCTGAGAAGTTTACTTACTTTGATCCAGTACATGTGAAGTATGAAAGAACCCATGTCAGATCAACAAACTCCAAGAACTAAACAGATAGGATCCTGAGCACCAGTGATCAAAGTTGCATGAAAGGAGTTTCAGCAAACTCAAAGCAAGGAGACAAGTCTGTCAAACAAGAGAAAGAAACCTATCAACCTACAAGCAGATTCTACCACAGAAACAGACTGGAAGTGACCTGGTACAACAGGGAAAACTCTATACAGAGTTGACGTCTAAAGCTCCAAGATCAGTAGAGTCCTGACATACCAACACAGAAAGGCAGCTTTGGATGATTGCGCAGCTATTAAGAAGTTTCATGCATATCTCGAAGGGAGAAAGTTCATAGTAGAGAATGATCATGCTCTGCTGGAGAAAAATCCACCAGAAAGATCTGTCAAGCACCAGCAAGACAGCAGAAAGTACTCTTGAGGTTTCAGAATTATGAAATAGTAAAGAAATGGTATTAGTAGAGCCGACTCTCACTGGTAATCACATGAGAAACAGGACCCAAAAAGAGCAAACTGCAAAGATTCCTCATTTAGTGAACGTAACATCACCAAAATGGAGTCAAATAAGAGATAAGACCTTCAAAGAGGAGTTACAAATGCTCTTTGTGAGATTCAGGATGGTTGAATAAAGGTGAGCCAACACAGCTAGCAATACAACTATATCAGTAAATGAGAGGTGACATATCACAATACGATTGTGTTCTGCTTGCCATAACTAGATTCAATGTAACGAAAATGATGCGAAGGAAACTTATTCCAAATCAGCCGTACATTGGAAAGGCATCAATGGAGACATCAAAAGATGGTTTCTACATACAGTTTATGTTGTGTACAGAAATACATGGCAAGGAGGAGTAATAGGATACTCAGGTACCACGCAGACAATGGCATACTGTGGAAGCTGATTTACTCTCAGAATCAAGAATGACTTAAAATGGTAAGAATCTCATTGTGGTAGATTTTTACTCTAAGTTCCCTTTTATCAGAAAGGACAAAGATTTAACAGATAAAACAGTCTTCTTGGCAACATTCTTCTGTTCAGCAGGGAATTCTTCAAACAGCAGTAAATGTGATAATGGACCCCAGTTCATTTTCACAGCATTAAAGGAATTTTCTAAACACTATGGGTTCAACGTATCATCTTATCACCACTTTACTCAAGGTTGATATGAAATTATCTGCAGAACTACTCAATAGCACAATGCCTAAGATAAATCTGACAAGCAAGATACTCCAACTGAACAGGAGGCAAAATTACAACAATGCCTGATGCACAGATAGAAGGATGACAACTAAAACAATCACCCTTGCCCAAGTTGTTGACAGGGCAAATTGTGCCTGTACAGAATCATATCTTTAAAACCTGAAACCCAGCAAAGGGTTTATAGATTACAGGTGAAAATGATACTCCATCATTGAGGTTAAAACTGGTAAGCAAAATGAGAAAGAAAGAAGTTCATGTACAGTCTACACTTGAGCCGAAAAAGCTAGATAAAGGTATCAGCAACACAAGGAATATCACGACTTAACGAGGCAACACCAATGGCATCACCACCATGTGGCGCAGTAATAACATTGCCAGAAAGTGACAACATCAGCAACATCAAACACAACACACATGTACAGTGTGCCAATGCATCACAAAAAGTGACGAATACATCACTTGGCAGACTAGCCATGGGATATGCAGGGTTACAGAGATAGTGTAAGGGGTGGGTCTGGTTGTGATGCTCTTTGGATGGTCAGTGTGGACTCGGTGGGCCGAATGGCCTACTTCCACATTGTAGGGATTCTATGATTCTACAAAACTCTAATTTTTTGAGAAACTATATGATCATTGGTAAAAACAGGATGGTATCCAGGATGCCACATCACTCACTAATGTAGTGCAGTCTGGATTTTCGAGCTGATAAGATATCAGTCTGCAGCACATGGTGTGATCTGAGAATTACATTTCATGAAGCCTCCTGCTTGAGAATTTAAAAGTGCAATTATTTCAAACTTCTGGGAACCACGAGATGTAACAGTAAAAAAGCAGCATTTTTACTCTCCTTTTTCCTGTCAAGTTAATTTTAGTAATGTGTGAAAACCAGAAATTTAAAAAGCTTGGTTGCACCAGTCAGAGAAAAAGCTAAGGATACACTGGGCATATTTGTCTCAACTCTTTTCTATATCACAGTATGATCATACAAGAGGAATGCAATTAACACAGGAAGACAAAGTCACCAGGCCTTCTTTTCCTAATGTCTTTAATCAATTAAATATTTGAGGGGAGGCAGCACTGTGAGTTTATTTTTATTGTTATTATTTAGTATGAGAAGACTCAGCATTTACGCCATAACTTTCTTCTTGAAGACCAACCATTCAATTCATCAAGTTAACAAGTAAAGAGACAAAATGTCTTTTTTTTAATTGTTTCATAGGATGTGGGTGTCACTAGCTAAAGTGTTGTTTATTGCTCGTCATTAATTGCCCAGGGGGTAGTTAAGATCAACTACACTGCTGTGGGTCTGGAGTCATGTATAGGCCATGAAGATGGTAGATTTTTTTCCTAAAGGACACTAAATAGGTTTTTACAACAATCAACAGTGGTCACTGTTAGGGTAGGCTTTATTCAAGATTTTCACTGAATGCAAATCACAATAGAATTTGAACCCCTGTCCCCAGAACACCAGCCTGGAATTCTGGATCACTTGTCCAATTACATTGCCACTACTCTACGTTATCCCCTGCATCAATAGGCATCAGTGAGGACTGTCATCAAGGGGCTCCTTCAGGATATTACATGAGAATACAATACTCTTCCCTACTTCAGCTTCATCATTCTAAAGTTGGACATGAAAAACAGCCATTTAAATAAGATGCCAAGAGAATACGAAGATCCACTGAACAGCACTTAAGTTTGCTTTTGGGACAGGAATGGAGAACACTGAGACAAAATAAGATCATCACATAGTATTCCTTGCAACTGGAAAAGGATATGGAAATCATACACTACTTACATCGTTCATACCTCCATCAATATCTTCTGGAAAGTCTGGATATGCATCCCCTGATCCATCAGCAGGAGCCAGACCCAAGTCATCACCTTCTCTAATCTCACCACAGTTTGTTATAGAACATTGCTGCCAAAAATTAAACACACAGTTAGTAAGCAGCATTCAGAATAACAATACTCTACAATTAAGATTAAGCCTTAGGAACAGTAGCAAATTAAAACATCAACTTTTATCACAATCTCATATTTCCAGAAGCAAAGTACTGCAGATGCTGAAATAAAAAGCAAAACGTCGTAAATAGATCAGGGCAGAATTTGTGGAAAAAGACAGAATTTCAAGTCATCAACCTTTCACCAGACCTAGGAAAAATTAGAAATGTAATAGGTTTTGAGCAGCTGGGAAAGGGAGGATACAGGGAAAAAGAACAATAAAGGACATCTCTGACAGGGAATGGAGGAGAGATTAAATGACAAAAGATTCATGCAACATGGCCAAAGGGAGCGGAAATGAGATATGTAAAAGAAACAAAAGGTCTGATGAAAAGTAATCAACCTGAAATGTTAACCCTGATTCTTTCTCCTGAGATGCTGTCTGAACCACTGTATTGCCAACATTTTCTGTTTCTGTTGCAGATTACCAGCTTTTGCAATATTTTGCTTTTATGAAAGAAAGAAGAGTCTAGAGGTGTGAACTGAAGAGGCAGTTTGACAAATACCATGAAAGGAGAAAAACAAGAGAAAAACGCAAAACCAGCAAAGAATCTACAATTGCTGAATTCAACATTGAGACTTGAAGGCTGTAAAGAGACTTATCAAAAGGTGAATTGCTTTGTTGAGGTTGTCACAAGTTTCACGTGAACACTGTAAGAAGCCAAGAGCAGAAATGTCAGATTGGGAGCAAGGAAGGGAGTTAAAATGACAAATGATCAGAAGCTTAAGGTCACACTTGCAGACGGAACAAAGATGTACCATAAAATGATTACCCAATCTACTTGCTTTTGATTTCTCCAATTAAAACAAGTAGAAGCAAGCTGCTGTTGCACCTGCAAGGGCTGTTTCAGGCCTTTGATATGAGAAGGAAGAAGATGAAAGGGTAGGTAATGCATCTCCTGGTCTTGCAAGAGGTGAGGTGGGCAAGTAAAAATGTTTCCTTTTTTTGTAAAACACTCTACAGTAAATTAGTCTAACTTTGCAATATCTTAATTAGCTTGTATTCCACTATTCTGAGAGAATAGCAGTTTTTCAGAAACATATATGTTACATATAAATTTTCTTTAAGCTAATTCTGGAAAAGTAGACTCTGAATAAGTGCTTGGGAGCCAGTTCTTGTTTAAAAAAGGAAAAATGACAAGTAAAATGCTCAGAGGGTCCTACAGGTTTAGTTTTAAACATATGGCGATGATACTTCTTTTAAATTACCAAGGTTAAAAAAATAGTATTCCAGCAAGGAATGTTTGCAAATATGGTCAGCTGAACTCATTAATCTTAACATACATTTTAAGAGCATAGGTGGCAACTATTTGCAAGCATCTTTGAATCAGAGACATTTACAACACAGGCAGTTCCCATTGGGCCTATTGCACCTGTGTCTTCTTCTGCTTCAAGTATTTATTTACTTTCCTTTAAACAATTGTCAGTGGCTCAATAACTTGGTATCAAATCACCCTGTACTTAAAATATATTTCTCCAATATTCTATCCTAACTTCTTGCAATAATACTAAAATTGATTTATGTTCAAACTGAACAGGTTAAAGAGCAAACACTCTTCATAATTTTAAAAACTGCAATCAACTTTCCCCATGAACTGGCTACAAAATTGAAAACAAAAAGTAGCAACTCAAGATGGTTAGTTATCAGATGAGCAAAAGATGCCATCTGCCCTGGGGCCAAGATTATTTAGCAGACACAAACTATTTGGACACAGGAATTGGACATAAAATGTATCCAATACCAAATTGCAGTGAGGGCATAGTTAATACTCAGAAAGACTGCAAAAATGTACAATGCTACGTTAATAAACTTGCTTAATGGACATGCAATAAAGAAATGAACTTCAATATATTAAGTGCATGCGTGGTGCATTGCATTAGGACTATCTATAGCTGAACAATGCTGAGACCAGCGTTCTCACAAACCTCCATTTGGAAAGTAAAGAGGGTTTTAAATGAAATACTGCTGTCAAGGGATATTTTTTTAAAATTCATTCACTCACAAGACGTGGGCATTGCTGATCGGGCAACAATTTTAATGCCCATCCTTAGTTATTCTTGAGATAGCGGTGGGGAGCTGCCTTCTTGAAAACTATAATCCATTTGGTATAACTCAACTCACAAAGACTTTAGGAAGGGAGTTCTAGGATTTTGATTAGGTGACAATTGATGGAACAGCAATATATTTCCAAGTCAGGATGGCGTACAATTTTTAGGGGAACTTGCAGGTGGTAGTGTTCCCACTATCTGCTACACTTATTCTTCTAGATGGCAGTTATCATAGGTTTGGAAGGTGCTGTCTTAGGAGCCTTGGTGAATTGGTGATGAGCAATAAATGCTGGCCCTGCCAGTGATGTCCACATCTCATGAATGGGCAGGATTCTGGAGTCTATCAGGGTTGCAGACAGAGGGGGACAGAACCAAAAAATACACGCACTGATTAATGCACCTGTTTACCTGCACCATTCTTATTAGCAGCAATTCTGAGGACTTGGCAGGGTTACTATTCCCTTCCAGCACCATAATGCAGGTAGCAAATTAGGCATGTTAATAGCCTCGTTAAGTCAGAAATGGAGGCTGTGATTTTCCAGTCAGTCACCAATTTTACAATCCAACAGGATGGTTTAACTGCCTCGATTGGAGCGCCTAGCAGTATTGCTTAATTGAGGCCTCCAGGACATCCCATGCCTGTCTGAATGGGTGAGATTACAGCCATTGGCCATCCTATCAAACTGCTCTCCTCCAACCATGGTGGTCTCACTGCTTTCTAAAAAAAAATTGAAAAATGGAACAAGTTGCTGTGAGGGCACCCACTCTCTCAGTTACTTACCATTTACCACTGCCAGCTGCTTCTTTGAAGCTCAAAAACCTCAGATGGGCACCCTAGCTTAAAAAGCTTGCCCACTACCCATATTTGTACTACACTGCAACTCCCACAATTTCAGGATTGGAAACAGTCCCCCACCTCCTGTTTCCTATACCTAAAGCAGAAAACCAGTCCTATACCTCACTAACTCCTAAGAACTTCTCAAAGCAGTCATCTCAGTACTTCACTCAAAGTTTAAGTTTTACATCGGAAATTGCTCAAAAGCAACAAGTTAAATATCACTCTGTGGTTGGTTCGCTCGCCAAGCTGATTCATTACTTCGCAGATGTTTCGTTACCCTGCTGGGTAACATCATCAGTGCAGCCTCTGAAGAAGCGCTGTTGTTTTTTCCCGCCTGGTATTTAAACTCTGGGGTCCACTGAAGTTGATTACCTCATTTCTGGTTTTTCTTTGCAGTGGTGTATGTATGGGGTCTAATTCTACGTCTTTATTAATGGCCTTTTTGGAGACACCACCTCCACAGACAACATCATTAAATTACTGGACCAATGCCTCATGACCCACTTTACCATTAATGGCCAAATCTATGAACAAATCAACGGGACACCCATGGGGTCACTCATCTCTGGACTAAAAGCAGAAGTGGTGATGCAGAGACTTGAAAGCATGGCCCTTCTGCAGATCCAACCTAAACTATGGATCCTATACGTGGTTGACACTTTCGTCATCATCAAATGGACTAAACTAGAGGAGACACACCAACTAATAAACAACACTCTCACTGACATCAAATTCAGTAAGGAAGAAGAAAAGAACAAACAGCTTCCATTCCTGGATGTCATGGTAAAACACAGTGCCAACGGGGAATTTCTGACAAAGGTACACAGAAAGGCCACACACATTGATCAAGTCCTGAATTTCAACAGTAGCCACCCCAACACCCACAAACAAAGTCACGTGAAAACACTATTTAAATGAGTGACAACGCAATGCAGCAACCCAGAACTATGCCAAAATGAAGAAGAATACCTCTACCAAAAATTTAAGGACAACGGATACCCAAACAGCTGGGTCCAACAATGCCTATCACACAAACAACAACAGGAAGATACAGTGTGTCCTGACACGCTTGTCACGTTTCCATACATCAAGAACATATTTGAACTGACCACAAGACTCCTAAGACCATTGGACATCAGAGTGGCACACAAACCTACTTCAACCCTACGTCAACTGCTAACTCGAACCAAATACCCCTTACCCACTATGGACAGAACCAATGTGATATAAAGATTCCATGCAAGGACTGCAATAAACATTACATTGGACAGACAGGAAGGAAACTGGCCACAAGAATACATGAACACCAACTAGCAACAAAAAGACACGACCAATATTCACTCGTCTCCGTTCACACACATAAGGATAACTACCAGTTCGATAAGGACAACATCAGGATCCTAGGATAGGCCAAACAGAGACAAGCATGGGAATTTCTAGAGGCCTGGTTCTCCACCAAGAAGGCCATCAATGAACACGAAGAATTAGACCCTATACATACACCACTGCGAAGAAAAACCGGAAATGAGGTAATCAACTCCAACGGACCCCAGAGTTTAAATATCAGGCAAGAAAACACAACAGCGCTTCATTGGCGGCTGCACTGATGACGTTACCCAGTAAGGTGACGAAACGTCTGCGAACTAATGAACCAGCTTGGCGAGTGAACCAACCACAGCATCCACAACCCGAGCTACAAATCTACTCAAGAACCTTAAACATCAGTCTCTAAACATGCATTAAAATAAGCAACTAAAAAGTCCCTATGAATATTCCTGAAACTATTATTCTATCTATTTTCCTTCTCACCTTTACAGGCCTCTCATCTTTCACTTTAACATTTTCCAGCATTTTTACTACTCCCATTCCTTTTAGCACCTGACCAAAAATCACATGTTTGTTATCCAGATGAGGTGTAGGCACAGTTGTGATGAAGAATTGTGAACCATTGGTGTTTGGCCCTGCGTTGGCCATGCTCAGCAATCCTGCCTGATCGTGCTGCAATAGTACAAACAGAAAGAATGTGTGAAGAACAAATAGTGGATCTTAAATTTAAATAACAAAATTAAAAGGATGTTATCAAAAATGCAGTTTCACTTTTATCGTTATTCCCATTGCAGTGATAGATCACAGAGCTAAATGAGTTTGCTTTTGCATTTTTGTGCAAATATGTTTGAAAGTTTCATATACTTGGTAAAAATTTGTCCATTCGTATACTGGAACCAGGTACTATCCCGCAGCGCAGAGTTTCATATACTTGATAAAATTTGTCCATTAATGTAGTAAGATTTGACCAAAATTGAAGATTAATTCATTAATCCATGAATTAAAAAGAAATTCCACATTCATGTATAACCATAAGCAGAGTAGTTTTAAATATCTCAAACAGTTTTTATGTCAATAGTTGTATAAATATGTAAAAACTCAAGTGCGAGAACAACTGAAGTGGATAAAAGAAATCAAAAATGTGCAGTGTTTTGTGTTCAATACAATGTTGAAAACGGAACAACTGTAGAAACATTCCCAGGCCAAAATACTGCATGTTCAGATGAGTAAACTTCCATCTATTCTATCCAACATTACGGTTCAACTCCAACCCCAGATCTGTCCCCATTGGTGTGAGTGTTTTCAATCAGCCAGTGCGTTGGGTCCATATATGTTGACTAAAGCTCGACTCTTCGTGTATGATCCCAACATACGAAAGGAGATTTTCATCTCAGTTTCAACTTGATTTGAATTTTTGTCTCAGAAGCAAAAATCTAGCAGCTAATTTCATTTGATTTAAGCTGGTGTTGATCAAGACAAACAGCCTTTGTTACAATAGCATGATGGCCTTTCATATTGTGCTGCAGAAAATATTGATGTGGAGATGCCGGTGTTCGACTGGGGTGGACAAGGTCAAAAATCCCAGGTTATAGTTCAGCAGGTTTATTTGAAAATGCATGCTTTCAGAGCTCAGCTCCTTCCTCAGGCATAGTGAGAAAGAGAGGGTACAGGACACAATTTATAAGCAGAAGGATAACAACCCTAAAAGTGGCCACCTCTTGTTAAATCTTTAATTAGTTAGGAAGGAGGCTACTGATTAAAATGCAAAATCCAGATTCCTCTCAACTCATTGTCCCAAGATACTTAAGGGTTTTATCAATGTATACAAGAGATAACATCTTGTGACATCTCAGGTGTGAGGTCTTGCTTAGAATCTGTTTTGGGGTGGGGTGTGTGTGTGTGTGTGTGTGTGTGTGTGTGTGTGTGCGCGCGCGCGCACGCTTGTGTGAGAGAGAAAGACAGTGTGTGTACGTGGGTGTTTCAGAGTGTGTCTGTGCATTTCACACAGCCCCATGGAAAATCATATCTACAATTACAAAATTTATTATCTATTACCAATGTTCTGTCACTGTCCAGCTAACAAACACGTATTCACTATAAATGCCCTTCTTTTAACCTTGTAATGAAAATTTTCATCTTCAAATTTCTCTCCATAGATACTTTCTCCTCCAGTTCCATTCTGATTAGAAAAGTCTCCTCCCTGTATCATAAACTTCCTTATAACTGTAAAGATCAGAAAGAATTGTTCATTTTTTAAAGTTTGAATTTAAAGTCATTTAAAATAGAAATTAAAATATTTATGATGACCAGGTCCACCAATTGACTTACTCCTGTGGAAAGGACAGCCTTTGAAATGCAGAGGTTTTCCGGTGGTTGGCCCAATTCCCTTCTCTCCAGTGCATAAAGCACGAAAATTCTCAGCTGTTTTAGGACAGACATCAGCAAACAGCTCCAGAACTATTCGTCCAGCTGCAATAAAACATTGTGCAATAGATTTCAAACCAATGGACTTTTACAACCTCACACTGTTTAAAATATCACAATCAATGAACTCAAATTGAGATTAGCCGCTATCAGTAGCTTCTACTTTCAATCACTGACTAGGTTCAATGGCTAAATTTCGCCAAATGTTGTCCTCGAATAAAGTAGTATTCCAGGGCTGTAAATGTTGAGACGTTTGATGAAGAGCTCTATCTAAAATATGTGTGCTTCTTTTCTTCTCCATACAAGTCTTCACCTTAGGATTTGTTGATAGACTTCTATTCCATTTTATTAGCGTATATTCCCTTCAACAACTCCCCGTTATAGCTAGTGCACAAGCTAACTACTCTCTATTTCTGAAGAAGGGTCTAGGCCCGAAACATCAGCTTTCCTGCTCCTCTGATGCTGCTTGGCCTGCTGTGTTCATCCAGCTCTACACTTTGTGTACTCTCTAGCTAAAATGTTCCTCTGGAATTCCCTACTGAATTTATTAGTGGCTACTTTACATCTATGGCTCTTAGTTTGATTGCGAATAGAGGCCCAAAATGCCTGACTACAGGTCAGTCTGCTAAACACAACTTAAGGCCACTGCATTCATAAACCTGAATCCAGGTATAGCTGTCAATCAGAACTTTACTGGAAATAGATCTACAGGTCATCAAATGCATAGGTCATTTACTGGTCATGGAAACTTTTTGCACCCTTTGAGGTTCAAGAGCTGAAACTACAGGCAATTAACAATAATCCAGACAACTAATAAGAACTTGGGGAGAAGAAAACACTGTTAAAGAAGCTGGTTTCCGAACACGGGTTTGTTAAATTACTAAAAAGAAAAGCCTAGAAAATGGCATCAAATATATTCATAAGTAAGCAAGAAGTATGTAAATTCAATCCTATGTTCATTATGATTAGTAAGAGATTATTCAATAGTCAATTTCTAGTTAATATCAATTAACAGTTGTCTTATGGCATAGCACGTTCAGCAAACCCTTAAAACAGCAACAAGGTAGATGTCCTAAAAGAACTCTACATCATTTTCTGAAGGGTCTAGGCCCGAAACTTCAGACTTCCTGCTCCTCTGACGCTGCTTGGCCTGCTGTGTTCATCCAGCTCTACACCTTGTTATCTCTACATCTGAAATACTGGGGAGAATTTTACCAGCCCACAGGAGGTGGTTACAGGGTGGGGCAGTAATAATTGGAGTGCTGAGGTGGGGTTAGGTCATGACAGATTGCTACCCTGACCATGATCTGATGTCAAATTTACTGATAAGAAAAAAGGGACAGGCTTCCCACCACAAGGAGATGGAAAACTATTCTGAATAAGATTCTATCAAGCGGCATTTTACCAGGCTGTTGGCATGACATGACTGACACTACCCTGCTGGATGAGCAAGCAGCCAGCTGAATGTAGGCTGCTCAGTAGCAGCCAAAGAGAAGTTCTCTTTTAAACCAAGTGGGGAGGCTAAAGGTAAAGAATACATCTCCCATACTCTCCTGAGAAGGTTTCCCCTCCATCAGCAGTACATTTTTTAAAAAAAGTACCTCAAACTATCTTCTGTATGCTGTGGGGCCCCTACCTTCTTTAGCAGTGACCACATTGTTAGTGATGTTTCTGAGGCTCTTGCGTTACCAAGCCAATTAGATTGGCCAGAAGCTGTTGGAGGTGCGACTTCCTCCTGAGCAAAAGTCAGAATTCTCTTCTAGTGCCAATTAACATCCATTAACCAGCTGTGGATCTGCCCACTGATATTTTTGGTGATAAGGAAACTCTGCCAACTGAGATACCCAGCCCAGATAGTTAGCAGGCACATTGCTATCAATATGATATACCCAAATCAGTAATCCAAGTCACTATCCTACATGGCACACAGCAAGTCTAGATGATTTCATTTCAAGGATATCTTATGCTCCAGAGAAACAAAATCCTCATTTTGCATAATTGCTCAGTGATAAGGCATTAAACAGTAATTTTGAGACTGTAAGAACTGCAGATGCTGGAGATAACACAGTGTGGAGCTGGAGGAACACAGCACGCCAGGCAGCATCAGAGGAGCAGGAAAGCTTCGGGTTGGGACCCTTCTTCAGAAATGGGGGAGGGGGAAGGGAGCTGGGATGGTGATAGGTGAGTGCAGGGGGGATTGGTCAGTGAGGTTGGAGGAGCAGATAGGTGGGAGAGAAGACAGACAGGTTGTGTCAGGTCAAGGAAGCAGGGATGAGAGGGAGGATTGGACATGGGATGAGGCCGGGGGTGGGGAGATTTTGAAACTGGTAAAGTCCACATTGAGACCATTGCGTTGTAGGCTCCCAAGGCGGAATATGAGGGGCTGCTCCTCCAGTTTCCAGGTGGCGTCATTGTGACACTTGAGGAGGCCCAAGATGGACATGTCATCCAGGGAGTGGGAGGGGGAGTTGAAGTAGTTTGCAACTGGAAGGTGTTGTTGTTTGTCATGAACAGAGCGCAGGTGCTTTACAAAGTGTTCTCCGAGCCTCAGTTTGGTCTCACCAATGTATAAGAGGCCACATTGGGAGCAGCGGATGCAGTAGACCACATCACCTGATGTGCAGGTGAATCTCTGTCTGATGTGAAAGGTTTTTTTTGGTTCCTTGGATGGAGGTGAGGGGGGTGGTGTAGGGGCAGTTGTAGCACTTCCTGTGGTTGCGGGGAAAGTGCCGGGGGTGGTGGGGCTGGTGGGAGTGTGGAGCGACCGGTCCCTACAGAAGGCAGGTAGGGGTGGGGAGGGAAATACATCCTTGATTGTGGGGTCAGACGGCAGGTGGCAGAAGTGGCGGAGAATGATACGCTGAATCCAGAGGTTAGTGGGGTGATACGTGAGGACAAGGGGGATTCTGTCTTTGTTTTTGTTGTGGGGAGGGGACGTGAGGGCAGAGGTGCGGGAAACGCAAGCGATGCGGTCGAGAGCATTTTCGACCAGTGAAGGGGGGAAGTTGCGGTCCTTGATAAAAGAAGACAACTGGGATGTTCGGGAGTGTAACGTTCCACCTCAGGATCAGACGCGGTGGAGGCGGAGGAATTGGGAGTAGGGGATCGCATTCTTGCAGGAACGTGGGTGAGAGGAGGTGTAGTATCTGGAAGGAGGAGGATAACTTCTTCAGGATAGGCATCCCTAGAAGGGGCTTTGCAGTGGGGTTATTAACTCACTCAGAGATAGTAAGAACTGCTGATGCTGAAGTCAGAGATAACACAGTGTGGAGCTGGAGGAATAAAACAGGCCAGGTAGTATCAGTGGAGCAGGAAAGCCGATGTTTCGGGTCTTGTGCTAGTAAATAAAGGAGTAATCATTGGTTGAAGCTCTGGTCTTTACCAGTTTCCAAGTGAACAGGGTACAGTCCAGTTCATATGTACAGTTAAGTCAAATTTTGCTCTAATAATGTGGTAGCATTATTCCAAGATATGGCAAAAATCTACCTTAATTGATTCTTGACATTTTGAGAAAGAAAGGTAAAGTTGCCAAAGTCGTACTAGACTATAGGGCTGCTCTTTCATTAGGGAGAGATAATTGGCAGTGGTTTAATGTGATGGTCATCACGCTTCAGGTGAAGGTAGAAATTGAGAAGCAAAGACCTTCATGGTAACCTCAGCCAATGCGAGAATTGAAACTATATTGTTGGCACTACTGTGCATCACAAACCTGCCATCCAGCTAACTGAGCTAATCAATCAGAGATACAAACGCGAACACAAGGTGCCTGATCTCTCAGAGGCACTGTTAACTGCAACAAATCATTCTTACTTCTTTTGAATCCAGTGTTAAACAATTTACATCCCTTCAGAGATGCTTAATCTGTTTTGCCATCCATTATTCATAATGTAATCAGTAATATTGAGAATTCAGCTCTCCATTGCCTGAGTTACACATTTCCTTACAAGGGAATGAATGGCATGATTTATCTCAGCAATCTCTACATTACACATGCTATGCAGTGCATCTACAAACAAAACCACTCCGCTCAACGGCAGACTCGCTTTGGCGGTCACTCCAAAGATGTGGAAAACAGAATTTTCAATATTTTTCAGTTTTCTATCTACTTTGTGTGTCAAATCAATGGATGGTCCTTTTTGATGCAAACTGACTTAATCATAAAGATGTTTCTGATTTTACCTTTTTTGAAATGCTGGATTTGTTTATTTTCTATCAACTCTTTAAATTATTTTGTTAATTCTTATGAAAGGCTATGGCAACACAGCAAATTTGGTCTAATGGCTAACTTCTAACTAATACAAATCTTTCTCCAAGTGAAACTTCTGACTTTATCTTAATCAAATTTAATTTTCATCAAGTATCTTTCTTACCAACTTGGAAGCCTGATTTTGTTTTTTTAAATTGTACTCATGTCAGTACTTGCGACAAAAAACCTAATCCCCAGTAGAATACTGTTTAGTCCTTGTGTAAATTTCCAAGTGGCGGTTCATCAAATAATATTATGAAAAATCTTTTTCTACTGCAAGCTCAAGGTTTAATTCGCAATGGTGTTACTTCTACGTTAATCTTGCATTTGATTAGCAGTAAATGATCAAAACTACAATACTGCAAGGCCTATGCATTTCAGCACTGAGCCATAAAGTAAACTTATCCAGAGCAAGTCTCCTAACAGAATACTTACGTCATTTCTAAAAAAAAGCATACAAGCAAGAAACTTCTTGTTGACTAAATGGACTATTTTCAGATGGGCTGTGACCAATGGAGCATCTCAAGAATCCGTTCTATGTCCTGAGCTAGCTATAATCTGTATTAGTGGCTTAGATAAGGGAACTGAGCGTGATGTAACCAAGATTTCTGACAACTATTCTGACAATTAGGTTGGCAAGCAAGTTCTGAAGAGGACACAACAGTCAAAAAGCAATGTAAGCAACTCAAATCAGCGGTCATGTATATGGCAAACGTAATATAATATGGGGATGAAGGAGGAAGTTACCCACTCTAGTAGAAAACATTGAAAAGTAAAGTATTTTTAAAATTCGAGAGAGGCTGGGAAACGTTGCAATTCACTGAGATCTGTGAAATCACAGAGTACTACATGGAGTTCTGGTCTCCTTACACAAAGAGGAATATGCTTGCTATCAAGTGAGTGCAATAAATGTTCACCAACTGATTGGTAGGAGTGTGGTTATGAATAGAGGCTGAATAAACTGGAAGTATCTTCCCTGAAATTTAACAGTTTTTTAAAAAAATTAATTCATGGGATGTAAGTGTCGCTGGCTAAGCCAGCATTTATTGCTCATCCCTAACCAAAGAACCCACCAAATGCTGTGGGTCTGGAGTCACGTAGGCCAGACAAAGTGCAGACATCAAATCAGGCAACATAAACTAATTTAAACATTTAAATTCTTAACAACTTGACAGGGTAGATGCTTGGAAGCCATTTCCCCCACTCAGGAGTTTGGACTAAGATTACACTATGTCAAAATAAGGAAATTGACATTTTTGGAATTCTCTTTCCTAGACAGCTTGTTCATTCATCAAGTAACTTTAAGACAGAGATCAAAAGATTTTTGTAAAGAAAGGGCAATGAGATATAGGACAGCAGTATAGGAGGTTGGCATTAAGTTCTAAGATTCACCATGATCTCCTGCTTCTGTTTCCTATGCTCCTTAGATCATTCAATTAGATCATGGCTGAAAGCCCCCTTTTCCTCAAGTGTCATTTCATTTTTCATCAAAGTAGTACTTTTGACATTCAATTTACCGAATGACAACAATTATCAGACAGTATAATCTGAATGAGTCAGCCAGCATTTTACTAACACATTGTTTTGTTAAGTACTCCATGTATTTTTATTCAAAAAAGTTAAGAACTTACATTAAGATTCTAGATACAGAAGAACTACAGCATTCCATTTGAAATATCTTCAAAGCTTTAGTTTTGTTGGTGTCAAACCTACTACTTCACATGCTCTGAATATCAGAGTTTAATTGTAAAAGAAGAGGTCAACATTCCAAGGAAGAAAATAAGGAAGGGACTTTAGAGACATGTCCCTTTACAGCAGCTGCTGTATCCAAAGCAGTGGCTGGTTGTGCAGCATGTTTCAAAAATAAGTTTCATTTAAATACATACTAAATACTGAAAAGAGTTAATTCTTCAAACAGGCTGTAGCCAATGAGTAAAAATCAGATACTTTTTAATCCTCGTGATAATTTAAACGTTTTATAAGGGGAAGGAAGTGAGCCAGAAGCTGCAGCCTCAGATTATTAATCACATTACGGAGCAGGAGGCACCTTTTCTGACAGGACAAGTTGCAACTTAATAGGACTGTGACCAATAACCCTGCATGATGTTTGATTGCCGTGACTTGGTCTGGCAAGGGAACCAACATATAAGAAGAAAAAAGAAACAGTGCATAAAGCGAGATCATTGGGGAGTACTACAGAAGGGAATATTTCCATATTAGATAGTTGCGAACTAAGAAGAACTACAGGGAATGCAAATGTACAAACTACAGTATATTGAATAAAGTTGATAAGCTACAAGTCATGTGGAAATATGAAGTAGTGGCAATAATTGAAACATGGCTTAAAGTGTTGAGAAAAATATTACAAGGATACAATGTACAAGGATGTAAAGTGCTTAGAAAAGATTGAGAAGAAAGAAAGGGAAATAGAATGAATAGTCTGATTACAGAAAATGGTGCAGTTCTGGAAAGTGGTGATGTCCTTAAGGGATCAAGGACAGATACCTTTTGGTTCAAGATGAAAAACTAAAAGGATGTGCTCATGCTACATTGGGATATTCAAAAGATCTCCAATTAGTGAAAGAAATAGAGCAGCAAATCTGCAATTAACTAAGAGATGTGCAAGAACTGAAGTGATAATACTGGGTGGATTTTAATTCGCTAATTATAATTTGTATAGTGTTTTGGTAAAGGTCAGGAAGGGGAGACATTTCTGAAAAATATTCAGGAAAACTCCCTTGAGCAATATATCCTCAACCTGACTAGAAAGGCATTGCTCAATCTGGGACTGGGAAATAAGATGGGTCAAGTGGTTCAACTGTCTGTAGGGGAATACTTGGGCAAGAATGATCATCACACAAGGTTTAGATTGGTAATGGAGAAAAGCAAAAAATGATATAAAGTAGAACATTTAGCCTGGAAGTGATTCTTTTTTAAATTTACATAATCAACCTGTCTAGAAATGTATGACACACCTCTAGTGCGGGTTTAACTTGAACCCAGGACTCCTAGCCCAGACGTAGGGACACTACCATAATAGAACAACAAACGATTGTTGAGTAAAAGATATTTCAGTTACAAGAAGAATACAATCAAACAAAGACAAAAAGTAGAACCAGAACAGTCCCCTTGGACGTTGAAGAAAGTAGAAATTATGATTAAACAAAAATACTCTATATTAGCTAAGTTAATTTGTCCAGTGAAAATCAGAAAAAATACAATAAACTGAGACTGAGATTGGGAAGAAAATAAGGCTGGTAAGTGTTACCCTAGTCACTTGTTGCCCTAAACACTTCTAAAACTGTTTCAGCAGATCCCTCTATCTGATCACTTTCCCATTTGGTATCCTTTTCGACTTACAACCCATGATCCCCTCAGTATTCTTGTTTTCCCCACCTGGTGTGGATCAATGTTTGGTCCTATCTTCTTAGAAGTTAAGAACCGTTGAAGAAGCGTTGTTTGCACATGAAGTACCGACCGACCAGGTGAGAGCATAGCAAACTGAATCTCGCATACACCAAACTGTTTAGCTGGCAGTTTGAGTCAGCTATCTCCACTCCTTGATTCTTCCTTATAGCCCTGATTCTGTTCCAATATTCAATTATCTTTTGAAAGTTACGATTAAAGTTAAAATTACTCTCTCAAGCAGATCATAATTGGCATAAAATACCTCTGGTTCTTTTGCCACCAACCTGAAATCAGTGTCCCTGTGAGTGGAAATGCAGTAATTAAAGAGAAAATATCAAAAGTCCTCCGTCTCAATTGAAGGCAATGAAGCCAATAACAGAACTTCTACTTTCATTTTAAATGAAATCTGCTATTCAGCGCATTCTGACCATTATACCTAGGATCTTACTGTATGTATAAATTTACCGATGCAACAAGACAGCCGAATACTGACTCATTGGCGTGCACTAGTCTGTATGACAAGCATATTATTCACAAGAGATAGTAGGAACTGCAGATGCTGGAGAATCCGAGACAACAAGGTGCAGGGCTGGATGAACACAGCAGGCCAAGCAGCA